TCTTGTTTCATCAACTTGCTTGTCAATAATTTACCTCGTTTTAGAAATTGTTCATACGTAGAGCATGCTTTTGCACATCGAATCAACTGAGATATATTATACTCTGTATGTAGATGATGAAGATTTATTGCTGCATAAGTAAAACAGTTGACGATAAAAAAGTTAAAGTCATCAGAATATTTTGTAGCTCATTAAAGTATTAACCAATGCAAGTAAAGCATAGTCGGACCTTTCATGTGACCTTTCAATACCCATTCGCAGTGAACGAATACTTCTGATGAATACTAGTATTAATAGAGAGGGTCTCTCTTGTACCGGAAAAAGAACTATTCATTTAAATCTATTTCATTTTAATATTAGTCAGATGTAAACTTAGTCTTATATATCGAAAGAAAAAAAAATATATACTACAAATGAAATATGCGTCATTTAGAATTAAAAAAAAAAAACAGCCTATTCAACCTCAGTCAATATGTATATTGTAATTTGATATATACTAAAATTCAAATTTGATTATAAAATAATCATGCAACAGTGATGTATTCAAGTAACACTGCTCACAATTGAAACACAAATGAACCTTTTTCTCAACACAATATATATTATTCTGTGTATTAAATGTACTTGTATTCTTTTTTTATATATCCTTAAACATAAGTTTCCAATATTGATGTCTCTTTTTCTCGGAATTTGGAGAAACGAAGCAGATTAAAAAAACGATTGTGAAAATCTCGATACGTATATCTGAAACGATAAAAATATTCAAATAAAATAATATATTTCAGGTTGAGTATTAAAATCATTGTATCAAATTAAAAGGAATTTGATTGCGTGTTTCCCTCTGTATTTTTAGTTTAAAACAAATGGTTCTTTTAAAGGATTTGAATATCATTTTATTTATTCCTTTGTTTGTATCTCTTTCTTCCAGCTATCTGACTGTCTGTCTCTTAAACATCCAGGGCTTAAAGACGTTCCCTTGATTAGATAGAAAACACAGTAAAACTTCAATAATTACCATTTATATAACACATGTACAAGGGCATATATAAATATTTTGACAAGTGATATCTCATTGTTCAGGAAAGGTGGATGTGTGTTTCTCTTAGATATTGCACGAGCGATTTCTAAATTTTATATCATTAAGGATTGCAACTCCAACGCTTAATGATACACAAGTGTGTATCATTAAGCTTTGAATATGTCGATATTTGCTTGTTTCATTAAGCGTCGATTTTGCACTGCATTTGTGACGCTTAAAGATATAATTCTGTCATTAAGCGGAGTTCTAGCATTAGCGGTTGATAATGTCAGCTATTAATGCAATAATATATTGCATTAAGCGTTGCAATTGCAACGCTTAACGCTATTTGTATCATTAAGCGGCGTTTTATCATTAGAGGTTGCTACAGGGCATTTATAACATTCATTTAAATTTACAAGTATTCAACAAAAAGTCACCATATAATCTAAAAATATAAACGTTAAACTGTCCTTATTTTAATTAAAAAAAATAAAGTCGTGCAAATTTTTAGATTTAATGCTATCATTTCAATACAGTCTTTGAGTGTACTTTCTATTTTTTTAAAAATACGCATTGCAAACGTTTACATTTCTGCAGGTAAAAGAAACCGTTTTGTACACGTAGATAGAGTTATTTTTACCTTTCAAATAAAGTCATTAAGATTTTCTCTAGCTTGAAAATGCTTAACACCTTCTGTAAGAAGCTGACAATGTGTATCTTCGAGTCTTAATATTTGAATTAAGATACCTACTTTCCACACCACGTTGCCCTTGTGTAAGTTAACAGAGATGATATTGTCAAAATGACGTGAATTTTTCCACACAAAATATTAAATATCGTTGTGGACATTGTTTTCGTTTTTCATAATCCCCTTATATTTAATACAATTATATTGATTAATTCAGTTGTTCTGAAATCTGCACTTCTCTTCAAGGAAGGTGCAGATATATGCAGAAAAATGAAAATCAAAATCCATTTTCAAAATGTGAACGGATGTTGCCCAAATTTAAATAATGAGTTGGTGCTCAAAATATAGATTGATCAGGACATTAAAGTGTAAATATCCGATATAAACGACACTTAGAAGTAAATGGCAGAATGCTGTTGTTCACACCTGTTGACATTGTCCGAAAACACTTTATTTTAAAAGTTTTCCTCCTTTTCATGAAACTTTAGAAACTGTGTACACGATCAAAAAAATTAGTTTATTTGCATTAAGAGGAAGAAGGACGTTTAGTTAAATATATTCTGAGGTGCCGTACCTAATTTTAGAGATATTAATCATGAAATGTACATATGGATACAATGCCGCAGTATTTAATTCATAGTACTTTTTCCTATAATAACGATGCACCATGCCATCGAGGATTTGATTTTCAAAGTATTTATGTATTTTAGTTGCTGATCGAGCGCTGATGATATTCAAACACTATATATTTTTTTTTTTGTAAAAAGACACCCTTCTTCATCCTTACTATAGTTATATCATGAATCTGCTCAACACCTTAATGTAGGGACGATTTTCATATATACTGAGCAAAATAAGTTTAGCAATTTAAGATATTTATTAAAAGATAAAGTGAAAAAAAAAATAGAAATGGCACTTACAATTAAATTGTAATATGAGCTTGTCATCACATTACCAAATACGGCAAATTTTACAGAAAATTGTGTGCTTTTTTGTAAGAAATATCGTAAAACTGATCACAGAGACGGGTTTGAAAAGTAGGATTAATTTCAATATTGTGTAAGCCCTCCAGTTGCAGCAATAGGGTCTGTAAGCCTCGTTAACTTTCACTTTCGTTTTCTAACTTCCGGGTACCTGAGCGTTCTTGGAGACAATGGATTACCGCTTGGCATTTAGTTTTAAGCCTAGCGGTGGACTAGCAGAGCCTGTCATGTCGTTTGTTTCCCGATTAATGAAAAGAAGAGGATATAATGGATTGATTGATACAGGTAAACAGCGTTTAACTGCTTTATTGTTTTATTAAATGACGTACATACAAGCCATTCCGAATGGGTCACGATTAGCAGTGTGGTTGGCGAACATTTTAAAGCATGAAGGAAAATTTAAATAGTTTTAAAGCTGAAATAATGTGTTTCCAAACTAAAAGGTTCCCTACAGATTGGTTCCTTAAATCTATTTCATTTATTTAGCACACGGGACGGGTACATAGAATGGGGGGGGGGGGGCTTAACCAACAAAATAAAGGTAAACACCAATTTTCAATGCCTATATTATGTATATATTTGCAATAAAAAGGGGGCTAAAGCCTATGTATTATACTTGAATTACAGTAGAAATAAAATAGATTTACTTGTTATGTACTCTATCCAGAAATAAAAATGTCAAATATTACTTTTACTTCTTTCATGTAAACAGGGATGTATACACTATATATATTCAATTTCAATATAACTTGTATAGCCTTATGACTCCCTTCCCGAATACTCTTAAAATCATGAGACAGACTTTTTTTTTCTTTCTTAAAATAGGAATTAGAAATAGGAATATTTTTAATGAAGGCATTTGTCAGACATCTAACGTTGTCTCCAAAAAGGCAATGACTGGGTCCATAGGACATTCATACTTCAACGTTAGAATATCTTATCTACATTTGTCATCATATTTTATAGGGATCCAGCAGATACAGAAAAAGGGACAACACTTCGACTGAATGTGTCATCCATATACCGGTATAGATCTGTTCTGTTCATGAGGCATACATACTGTAAATGTATTACATTTGGCGTGTACAATATTTGGTGGAAATTCAATTTTCAACAAGTTATCATACTATTAGATATCTGAATGTGCTAGTTATTAAATTCATATACAAGACATTTAGAGATGTACTTGGATAGGCGGACTATGTTTTCCACTAAATAAAATATATGGCTAAATGTAATATGTTTACATTATGTATAGTATATCTCATAATGCTTATACTCATGAAGAGTGTGACAACTTCCAAGTAGTTAATGATGGAATTTATTTTCTTTTGTATTGGGTAAATTTTGGGCTGCACTTTTTTCTTTCTTCATTATCAAACCTACTAGTTCATTTATTTGTCAAATTCACGAAAGCTCACATACAATGGTAAATAAATTAAGTTGAATGAACCATAATACTAGTTAAATTTGGCACATACTTTCTTATTAAATATCAAATTTGATTGGTTAAAAACATTTGTTAACAATTACTTTTCTCCTTCGGTGTGCCTAACATTACATCCCCATGATTCAAATTGCACGTTGATAGGTACATGTAACTTCTCCATAAAAATAGCTAACTGTGCAGAGTGTTTGCACACTCGTTTCAACAAATAACATTTTCTTAAAAATACTTCAGTGTAACAAGACATATATTGCATGTTTATTTTGATACACTATACATGAACTTGAGAAAAAAATTAAGGAAGTTGACATTGTATATTTGCTAGTTACTTGTGTAATTAGTTCTGTAGATATATTTAGGATGTACACAGGCATAATATATTACTGTTAATATTTGAGAAAGTATTCATTTTTTGTGTAGATGCTCACTTCCACTTAAATACATTTGCCAGGTTCTTGTGAAAAGTGTTTTATTTGGCACCATTCAGCTACAAATACCCAATGTACTCTTTGCCGGTGGAATTGTGACCTCAATCAACTGCTCATGACACTGCTAAATGGCAGAGAATTTTCTGCTGAGACAAGCAAATTGTTTCAAACATTTTACACCTGCAGGTTAGTACTTATGAAATTTTGTTTGAAGGAAAATACAAGCCAGATGTAGTACAAAAGTGTTGATACAAGTCATTTAAAATTTTCATTTCTTTGCAGGTAGTGATGAGTGCAACAGAAGTTTTTATCAGGATCTCGTCCGACATCATAGGTACAACTGGTCACTGTGATTTTTTAAATAAGAGGACATATTGTAAAGGCGCCTAGGCGGTTACATATGTACAAGTGGCTCCAAATGATGCTTCACTGTTTTCCTTCACTTTATACGTAAACCTGGATTGGTCTTTGATGCAGTAATATAGAGCCATGTCATGTTTGAAATCCCATCTTCCCACTGTCACAAAGTGCTGTAATAAAATGATTTTGATTTAAATATATATATTTTTTGTTTATATAAAATGTAACAAAACATTTTACAGAAATTAAAATATTGTACAAGTGGAAATTTTAGCGAGATCATGATGCAAATTTAGTGATTTGTCCTTAAAATTTGGTATTTTCTATTTAGCGAGAAGTAATTGTAGCGATTTTTAAAAGATTACTAACTTTATAATATTTGTATATAATTTTCATTAACATATTAATTATTACAACTTAAACACATTTAATTTTCAGTGATATTCAATTTTAGCAATCTCAGAAACCTAGCTGATAATGCCTCGCTAAAAATTATGCTTATACGGTATTAAAACTACCAATTAAATAAGTATCTTAAATGAAAATCTTTTGAAGGTTTTGCTTGTCAATTCTTTGCTTATAGGGTTACTTACCTTTAATAATGTCATGACAAGTGAGGCACATGGCTGGTCTTCACGCTGGATGAGTTCTTGATCAAATCAGTGATGTCCTAAGATTTCCAGATAAGCTGACAAAAACCTGTAATTTAACAAACTTCTGTAAAATGTCATTCGAATTATTACACAGTTGTTCCAGTATGCATTACTGATAATTTAGGTGTAATGAGTTATAAATCTGGTAAATATCCATTTACTGGATATTTGATACAAATCTTAACCTTCTTCATTAAATTTTATCAATATTTTTACAAGAAAAACAGACTAAAACAGACTAAAATTGTCCTTTTTATACCAAAAAATGTCTAAGGCCTTTTCATAAAAAAAATTTGATTTAAAAATATTTGTTTTAAACACTGTATTTTCATATCTGAGTGCCCCTACTAAGGCCAACAATAACAAAATGATTTGTTTGATGTACTCAGCCTTACCCATTAAAATCTGCCCTACCAATAGTAATCATTTTTTCAGCACTTCAATTTTTTTGAAAACTTCAACAGATTTCTGAGTCTGTGATTTTTAATATAACAGTTATCAATGTTTTTCAATACTGTAAGGCAGAAAAAAACCTACCAACTAATCTGGATAGTCTGGATACAAACACATATTTAATGATGGCCAATGTTGACAAATTTATTAGTCATTTTATAAAAAAAAATTCAATACATGTATATATAATATTATTATTCATTTAAACTGTATACAAGGGTTTCATCCCATTTTAATACTGAGGTGATTACGTTGCACACTGTGGAACATGGAGACATGGATACTTCATATGAGACCGTTTAAACTATGTCACAGGTACTGGCATGAAAAATATCCCTCACTGCTTAAATTGACAATGGCCCCGAGTATAAGACAAAATTTACATCTCTCCACCATCAAGTGGGTGCGTCTCCATACAAGTGAAAAATTCTTGAGAGGGAAGTTAAACAACAATCAATCGATTAATAGTGAGGTGAGATGACAGTATAGATGAATCATGGGTAAATGTCTAAAAGAATACCCTGGGGTGAGCGAGGGTAAAGCATTACTGGACATCCATGATCTTTTTGCATTATTTTGATATACTATGTCTTAGGAAAATAAATTCTATATATATGTCCTAGAACTTATTCTGTTGCATCTGATTAATTTCATACCTGTATTTGATTTGCATTTTTAAGGAGGTTGATCATTCAAAGTCAGTTTAGTCTTATGTGCTTGACTGGATCTTTCAGCAACAGCATCTTTCATCTGTGTTACTGCCTGGTTCTCTTGTACTTCTGCTATAAAATAAGTTTTAATGTATATAATTGTATGAGATCGATGAATAAATAAAGAGAAAATGCAGCAGACCAGACCGGGATTTGAACCCAGGCCCCCTGAAACTCCGGTCAGGTGCTCTACCAACTGAGCTATCTGGCCCAAACTTCTACACATGTATGGTCATTGTATTGAAGTGATTTGAATTTTGTTTAATGTTGAATGCAGCGAAATACTTCAAATAGCAAAATATAATTATATGAACATCTTATCTCTGGGAAATAGATCTAAAATAGGTGATCCAGTGACATACAACAGGTAAAACTTTATTTTAAAAAAATATATTTACCGATGCAAAAGTGATGCAGGCTCCACAATATGACGTTTGTACCCATCGGACACTGACAAAACTTCTCCTCTATAATTAGCTGATAATAACATTATCGTCCTCGAATTCGAGAAAAATCTGTTAACAAATTTAGGCGAAAGATGATTATGAATCTATTTCATTCGGGTATAAAGTAAAACACTTCATTTTCTCTCAAAAAAAACATGAAACAGTTGACATTCTCTGATTGTTTACCTGTATTTCGATCGAAATTTTCCTGGTGGACACTCGCACCCAAGCTTTTATGACACGCAATTCATCCATCGTAAGTCGGAGAACCCTTCTGCGTGTCCAAAGGGCTTTTCAAGTAAAAAATTCTTCTAGGACCATGTGCGTTCGACCAAAACCATTTGTTTTGTTGAATTGTTACAACGTTGGATGACGCAGTTTCTGCGCGTCAAGTTTAAAAAAGAAGTGTGTGTTTTGTTACCCTTTTCTATACTGATTTTAAGTAGAAACAAAATTAAACAATTTCGAAAAATATTTCTAAAATTATACCCAAAAACAATTGCTAAACTTATTTTCCTCAGTAAATCTACTCAAAAGAGCTAGTCCCACTAACTCGAGGGCGGTGATTCTATGATATTTTAAGTGATCTTTTTTATCAAAATTATTGACAAATTTTGTTCACTAGAACCGGAAGATTTCTTTTAAAGAATTTTTGCACAAGAATTTCAGAGCAGGAATTCAAATAACTTTAATCTCAAAATAACTTCAATCTTAAGATAGCACATCAGTTTCAATGGTTTGACTACGTTTCAATAAATTTGTGAGGCAGGATTGGCAAAAAGGTTGATTAATTGAAGATTTGGAATATCAAACACTGTGAACAGATTTTATTTATTCCTGCAAGTTGCTTACAGTTTTTGAAAAGTTTTAAATTATAAAAAGAATTAACTTAAATAATCCAGTCCAGTTTTTAAATAAGAAAGATACCCGAGCCAATATTATTTGGTGTTTCATAAATTATTATTTTCATCATATACTATGGTATTTAGCACGCGTTGCCCGCCCTCGAATATCAGATGAGTGGTTCAAAATTAACTGTTAAAAGATTTAATTTGAATGAGAAAATAAATGTACTTCATATGTGTTTAAGGGAAGTTCATGTAAAAACTGGAAATTGCAATAATTGTTGATTTTTATTAAATCTTAAGATCATTATTTTTAAATTGTCACCCACGTAGCATAGTGAATTAAGCGTTCGTTCTAAGAGTTGCGGAGTTATGAGTTGATTCTTACGGCACAGGTTCAAAGTCAAATGCTAGACGTGGGAAACCGGTCTTTTGGATAAGTCGAGGTCCTGTGTCGCAGTAACTACTACTACGACAAGAAACTCGTAGCCCCTCAAAAAACCACAAGTGCCTAGTACTGGTCTAAATATGCGACCCTAAACCGGCAAGTGATGACGACTCAATATGGATTAAAAAATTGCACCATAAAGCTAAACAAACCAAGAACACAACAGAGACCAGTTCTCCAGATCAGGCCGTATAAACCCAGGTCCCTTCTCGCAGTGGGTGCGTTTCCATTTGAGTGAAAAATCCTCGAACAGTACATTAAACAAAAAGCAATCAATTAAATAAGGTATAATAAATAGCATATCGTGGTCTGCATCTACAATGCATTAACAGTACATCTGTACATGTATATATCATTGGTGTTCCTTGTTCACTTAGTACTTATTGATTTTCTCATTAACTGATATCAATAGTAAATTCGATCGTCTTGATGTTACCATCTTCACTAGCTAAGGGCTGGCAAAGCTGTGATGTTACATATGTATGGTTGATTCACCATGTTCAGTTATAAAATTGGCAATTGCAATCGTCATCAACAGATGGATGTGTGGTTGATAAGATTTTAAGTAAGTCATCCTAAAATTAAACAAAAAAAAAATAGTTTTTGCTCAAAATTAAAAAATAAAAGCTACTAACTAAGAAATTCAACCACGTATTTTTGAGGAGTTTATTTTGCTTTCAAATGTATGATTAGTCTAATATTTAAACGTTATCTCAGCAAAATCAAACCTTTCATGATTTGAATTTGAATTTGAAATGGGAATCATGACCTGGCATATTGAAGAGAATTCAATAGAATTTCTGACATTAAATCAAAATTCCTTAAAAACCAGAGGTCACCATTTTAAATTTTTGGTAAGTAGATCTGGCCTGCGGCCATAAAATTTAGATAAGTTTATTTTTGATATCACTTTTCCACTATTAATTCCTTTAGCAAAAGTGAGTTAATCTAAGTCTTATGACCACCAGTCCAAGTCCTCCTTTAGGTGCTATCTAATATTTTAATATTTTGATATACAGATCTCAAATTTCAACTCATGCTAAATACAATGTGATATTTAATCAGGTATTGGTTAACAGAGACCGAAGGCCGAGGTTAACCAAAACCTGGTCTGTATAGTCACAGGTAGTCCGAAACCATAAGCCAATAGCCGTTTTATTAATAAACGATCGGAATTTTACGACATTTTGACACTTAGATTTTGTCTTCAACAAAAATAAACACTCCAGATCTATTGCAAAGAGTAACAACACATTTCAAGTGCTTGACAATTAGACTAGTTACAATAGAAAACGAAATTATATATTTAACACAAATACTCTCAATTTTAAGAACGTCTTTATTTCTAGTTTTATTTTCATAAAGACAAATGCTTCAAATCAAGAAATTTGATTAGTCTGCAAAAATGTAAGCAATTTTCGTGGTTTGTCAACAGGGGAAACCAAAATAATCATCCCAGTTTTCATTTAAGGTGAAAATTCTATCAACTTTACTTCAGGAAAAATCGTCTTTTTAGACGAGTTAGAGAGCATCGAAATTACTGGTCTCAAAATCATAAACTGAGAACAGACTTTAGTCAAAATTTTGATTATGTTTCTTGAATTCAATAAAAATATGTTAATAAAATTTGCAGGTTTGTGTTCTATACAAATTAAAATGCATGTGGTACATGTAAAATTAAGTTTTTTTGCCCCTGGATTGAGGTCTCTTTAGAATGATGCAATAGTTTATCAATTGAAAAAAAAAACTGTTGTCATCCCTGCAACAAAATGAGTATTGATTATGAGTTTTATAATGCGTAGAGGTCATAGGAATAAAAGAAAATATATCAGTTTTTGATTTTTTTTTTTTTTTTTTTTTTATGCAAATTTTCAACAATTTTTGACTACATTTTGGTTCAGAAAACATTAGGCACAAGCTTGTCCATCGACCAAATTCATATATTTCAAACGATAGTTTAAGATGAATCTTATATATAAAAAATATCAGATAGGTAAGGTTACGCTCTATGTTTCCCGAAGTGAAGTGTCTCAAATTTGACAAAATTCGACCAAAATTGAGAATATTCGGAAAAAATGTCCAACATTTGCACCCTTTTGTTGCATTCATGTATGCACAACAATCATTATTCTAGTCACTTAACTGCAAATATCACAATTGTTAAGAGTGTTATAGTTTTTATATCAAATAAAGGGCCAGATTCGCCTTTTACCATACCTTTTGCTTTATTGACCTAAATTCAGAATTTAATTTAATTTCAAATTTTTACTTAAATCTGTTCTTATCGTATGTGTTTGGAGCCTGGTAAAGAGAATAATACATACCCTTTTTCATGTCACATCCTATTTCTGTCCGAGATACCAGCCAGAGGGCCGAAGGGTTGATATTGATCGAGGGCTCATGCAGGATGTGATATTTTGTTTCGTTTATTTAATACTAATTGAATACAGAACTCACTCGCTTGAAAATAAAGGAAATATAAATAATGCATTGACTATTAAACAAGCTAATTACATGTATGTCAAAGAAAATGGATAATAAAATAAGATATTGTGAACAGAAAATAGTATAGTGTATTAGGACAATTACTTTTTCCCCAAAGTTTAATCTTCTACGGTGTGATGAAATACCATACTCTCCTGCTGGTCCATATAACCACTGCAGGATCCGTATCACACAAAGAAGCTCAAATGGCTACTGGTATTGTGACATCAGGTATATCAAACATGGAAAAACCCCAACCTTGTATTGATTACAAGGTATGTTCTTAAATTGGATATTGCAAGATGTGTTCAAGTTCAAGATTTTTAACTACATGTTTTATAAAAAAAAATGTTGGCTTGTAAAAACAATGAAAAAAAAATTATATAAGAACTTAAATGTAAAGCATAAAACGCATAGAAATTTATTTCATTTCAGGAATGAATCTTATTTCTACTTTTGTTATACGATACACTGTATAGCGTAACTTGATGCAGTTTACGCTTTTTTTATAAACCGCTTGGCTGCCATACATTTTTCTGATCACTTACCTCAAAACTAGATAATTCAATAATATGTTATTGGTCATGCAATTGATAGTTCGAGTTGGACAGAAATACTCCCTCGATAGGGGAATTAAGTCCATGCATTCAATTACAAGTTATTGAATTTCCTATTCATAACATTTTTCTTGCTTTTCTCTTTGTCTCTGCCATTTTGTTACACGTTTTCGTAGGTTTGACCTCCTTAACGAGCTTTAAAGACATGATAGCTTCACAAATGTTGGATTGAAAACATTGTTAACATGGATTCAAAAAACATGCAAAATTGATTGAATAATTTTTGGAAATTTAAGTCTTTTGTTAGGATTGTCTTCTTACCTTTTCAATCTAATAACAGGCCAAGTAATATTTAAACATCTCTGTAGACGAAAAGAAGAGGGAGTTTTGCCGCAGTCCCGATACTTTTTACTCCGTTGAAAAATACAACTTTTGCATTATGACAAAAATATAACTTGTATTCTATATATAAACTACAGTATTTTACTGTTTATGATATATTGTCTGGTGTGGTCATTGATGTTATAAATGGATTATGAAACGTGTTCCTGTAAACAATGCGCAATTTTTTTTTTTTTTCAGAACTCTGTGCTGGAGCTGTGTATAGCGAAGCATATTACACATTTTAAAAATGAAACAGTTATAATTGAAAATACTGAGAGAAGTGAAATTTAAAGTAGATGACGTTTTTTCTATCTTCAAGTGCACAGATTTTTCTCGACCAAAAATCACTCGTTCCTAGCAAAACATTTCAGAAATTCAA